TGGCTCCCCTCAGGAATCATAACAGCTAGCTTGGATGCATTTTTAATGGCTCTTGTTGCATAGTTAGAAAGCCAGAAAAAATTGTGATTGTTAGAGGAAATTGTCTGCTTTTTCCATGTTATTAGTCTATGTTCTTTAGTGCATTATTTTATTAAATAAAAATTATTTAAAACACTACTACCATTAGTTTAAAAAAGTATGGTTAACTGTCATCGATAGTCAAGAGCAAAAAAAAGGAATACTCAGGTAAGTACTTTATTTTTGTTTTTATGTTTATTCTTTATTTATTTATTATTATAAAAGAAATTCAAATGTAAAAAATAGATCTCTTTAGATTAGTTAAGGTTAGATTAGATAAAATATACAATAATATAATAAACAAATTTCATGAGCCACACATGTGAGCAGCTCAGAGTAGCTAGTGGGTAATGTAATGTAAGTGATTAACAACCTATAATGGCACAAATAGTAGTTATACACAGTTCAAAGGGCAATAACACAATAAAATTTAATTACAAATAGATGTATATTCTTGCGAGCTTAAAGCTACTTAGGATAAACGAATGTAGTTTCCTGCTACATTTAAAGTCCTTCTAGAAAGAAAATGAGAGTAATTGAAATTTATTTAGATTGGGGGGGGGGGTATAAGGTCAATCAAATTGACAAACCTTGTATAGAGTTATGGTAGAGAAAATAATAGACAATATATAAACTTTTACTGAAAACATTTGAAATGTATTTAGGAGGTTTTAGAGATTACACAAATGAAGATGAAGAAAATTATTTTTTATCTTGACATGAAAATCTCTTTGCATACGGATTATTCAAGACAAATACTGAATATATTCATGGACAAATCTTTATTAAAAATATTTCCATAAAAAAATGTTTTTTTTTATGTGAAAGACTTATAATGTTAACTGAAAGACATCCAAATTTTGCGAAGGTATACACACGATATTGAAAGTTAGAAGTATTTAATCTATAAAGACTTTTAAACAAGTACAAAGAGGTCACGTGGTTGATCAAATTGTTGGAGCCTGTGTGTGGAGGGAGTTAATCATTCATGCTTAATCAGGTCATTGTTGGCAAAAGAATATAATCTAGGTCTTTACTATTGGATATCATTCCTTGAATGTTGTTTTATGATGACATTTCAGGACATTTGTGTGTTCCTTTCTGAAACTTCACCCTAACGTAATATTCGAGGCAAGTTGTCTGAAAGTAAAACCCTTCCGAATTAAGCTATCTTGCCAATCATGTCTTTTAAACAGCATCTGAAAAGTTATTACGGACCAACATTAATCAAGATAGACCTGAAAAAGGGACTTGCAAATGCAAAGAAACACTGTCATTACATAATATCAAGGCAAGATGTGTGATAGTAAAACATCTGATTTATTTTTCTTTTGAAGTAAGTTTTAATAATGAAAAACGTTTTTCATTGTCACATTCAACTAAAATTCAGCATTTAGAAAAGCCACTTCCTTCTATTATAACAACAGTTAGATGTTAAAGTTTTCGTGGTAATTGTTTATTATAAGTATATATATTTTGAGCACATATGTTCCTTTATAGTGAGACTGAAGTGCATGTAATGACACAACTGTTGTGTGTGTGTGTGTGTCTATATATATTCTCATATTTTACTGTTAAAGGTGATGCACACTTTGTTGTATAAAAGGAAATTGTTTCTCCAAAATTTATTCCCCAAAAAAATACCCTCAGCTTGACTGGGAGGAAAAAACCCATGAAAAATTGTTAATGTACCAAATTTTTACAGACATCATTCTGTAACATTTTTGATACTTGTCTAGATTTGTGTAAAATACCAACTTTTCTGTTTTGCTCTTTCAGCTGTGGCTTCACTATGAAAGTGACAGTCAGTACCTTTGTTTTGTCCAAAGAGCAGGGCAAGACTCTTTTTAATGCTGTTGGCTAGCTGCCTTCTGTTTTTGGTTAATTAAAAATTAGGTATGGCTATACATAAAGCTGTAGGGTCTCTGACTTGACTGTTTAGCAATTATGTTTATATAATACTGTTGGTGTTCAAAATTTCCATTTATGTTGACAAGACTGATTCATATAAGCTTGGAAAATGCTTATTACAGTCTTTGCTTTATATGTAGTTATTAGTGTATCATGTATTACAGCTTTTGCAGTAACATAATTATATAAACACAGTTTCCAGCATTGGGAACTGGTCGATGTCATCCATTGGAAGAATTTCTTGCAAATATTTTTATAACTAAATCTGTTACTGAATGAAAGTTTAAGAGAAGTAGAAATAAGTATTATTTACAGTATAAGATTAACTGTAATATTTTTTTTTCCCACCGGAGTGATATTTTTAGTTTATAGAAATAATGTTTAATGCAGAAAATGAAAGAATACTTCATTTTGTAAATGTGTTTCTGTTTTCTTCACTTTCCAGTTTCCACCCCTTGATCCATCCTCTTTGAAATTCAGTGGAATAGGTCGGTCTGTCATGTTTGTTTACAAACATCCAAAAGAAACTAAAGAAAACAGAGAACGGGCTGGTCGTTTGATTAGTGAATGGGCAAGGCCTATTTTCAATGTTAATGCCAATTTTCGTTCCATGTCCAAAGAAGAGAGAGAACAAAGAGATTTCGAACATATGCCAAAGAAAAGGAAAATGAGGTTAATGAGTATTTAAGACAAGTTTTTATCACATCTTACTTAACTATAACATTATTCATAGTATAAAATGTTTAGTGAGATTTAATTTCTATTAACTTGGCAAATAATTGAAGAAAGTTTAAATTAATTTATAGTGTCAGTAATATTAAAGCTAATTTAAATATGTCTTATATATATATCAGGGAAGGTTGCTTCCTGGGGTATATTTCACTTAAAAGCATGTGGACTTGTCAAATTTAATATGAGAGATGTATATATCACATAATCTTTTAGTCTAAGGAGTGTAGCTGTATTATTTATATTTTCAAGAGTCCTGACAAGGAAAGGGGAAGGAAAGATGTTTTATTCTGAAATTAGTACTGATAAATTTATTTTGTGTAAATGAGCCTTGTAGATGGATTAAGTTAGGAGAACCTTATCTGTACATCAAGCAGAGACATTTTATTTTTCAATGGGTTGAGAATATTATTATGGTTAATTCATGTGAGTACCTTTGGGAGACTTGTATCAGAATCAGTAATACCTATAGAGTGGATGTTGCTCTTGGTCTACTGTATTATTAACACTGACTTTCTGAGACAAGCACAGTGACTTTGCTAGGTCAGTCTTGACCATCCAGTTCCAATAATGGACCAAACTTGCTGAAATTAAACCAGAATAAACCTTATTTTATACTGAATCCAAGGATGTGTTGGGATATCAAAAATGGCATTGAAATGAGAAAAATATGATTATTTTACCAGAGCCAGTGTGAATTAAGTACTGCCACAAATCATGCTATGGTCATTGTTGATTCATCATATTATATTTGATAATAATCTACACTGCCTAGCTGAGACTTTCTACTGCCACCTGCTTATACAATGTGTGAGTGAAGTC